CTTTTTACTCTTTTACCCTTAACCCTCTATCTCTTTGAACTCTCTATCTCTCTAAATTCCCGAACTTTCAACGAGCCATTCGAGCTTCCAAAAAATTCTGAAAAAATGTCGAAAAAATCATACAGCATCGGGAAATGATTCTTCTCCAGCAAGATAATTTGTTCTTTTTTTGTTGCAAATTATTTTTAAATTTATTTTTATAAAACTGTTGCCGCGTCCGGACGCGGTGGGGCCGTCCAGTCGGCCGGTCCGAACAGCCCAAAAATCGTATGGCCCCAATAATTTTCGATGCAATTTTCGATCTGTAATCATTTTTTTTTAAAATAAAAGTTCTAACCTACATGGATAAAAGCACAAATAATTATTGTCTATCACATAAAACTTACACATACGACTAATAAACACAAAAAATTAATAAGCATTGAACAATTTAGTTCGTTTGCATCGATAAGTACTTTAAAAGTTTTATATTTATTTTTATTTTTATTTTTTTTCCCAAAACGGCATATGGAACTATATTAATCTCAAAGCGAACCGAGTTCGAATACAAACAAAGACCAACTCCTAAAAAACAAAACTGAGAGACACACACGAGGCGGTCTAGAACCTCAACTAACATAAAGACACAAATACAACACAATCACAATGAAACACAGACACAATGACAGCACAAGAGAAAAAAACCGAATCCAACAAAGCAAACCAAAAGAATTAACTCCCCACCACTGCCCCAAAGCCTAGTAAGGGAGTTAATCCATACAGAACAAAAATACTACAACAACCAGAAAATCTAATCTGCAGCATTAAAATCCAGCCAATAATTATAATATTTTTATTTATTAATTTTTTTCATATTTATTAGTAAGAATGACAACCTAATTCTATTTTTATAATATTTAGCAAATTTAATATTTTTGTACTTTATATTGTTCTTTCATATGTTCTTCACCTAATGGTCAGGTGAAAATCGTTAACTTTATTGGCCTTGTGACCAAAATTGAAAAAAATACTCAAACAAACAAATAAATAACGTTTTTTGTGGGATGAAAATTCAATTCAATAAATATAAGGTGAAATTTCTAAATATAAGAGTTTATTTTTCTTAAATAACGAAGTAACTAAGTGAATTGATCCACTTTTCTAGTTTGTTAGAATATGTATATATTCGCTATACCAATC